GAGCTTGAAATTCTCATTCTAGTTGATTACTTTTGATTGTCTCATATCTACTTACAAATATAAGACACAGAGTTATCGTTTTTCAAAAAATATATAATGATACCATATAATATTTATTTCGATGCTATTATTGATTTTATTTTTTATCTGAACTAGATATTTGATCGAAGCCTTGTAACAATTGTTGCCTACATGTTTATATAGAAAGCATAGACTCATGTTACTTCAGCTGACCAAGAAACTTGCCAACTTTGAGGCTACAACGCAAAGAAACTCCATCTCTGTCCAATAAAATAGAGTATTCTAGCCTAGGTTTTCTCTTCTACTCGATTCTCTAGTATTTCACTAGAAACGTTGCTTTTTAAAAATTGCATAATAATTTTGATAGTTTTATCAATTTATGATGTATGATTAATATTGTAATAAGCTGAGTAACACAAGTACACATGTCGTTCAAAACGATCGAAAACCGATTGCTAGCCACGCATCTCGTACATCATTTTTGGAACTCTTACAAAAGTGTTAGATTTTAATCGACATCACATTTCCATTCTAATGTGAGTGCACTGAAGCCATCGGTATCGGTAATACGAGCTATATTCGCTTAGTTCTCGATTTTGATTTTTTTATTAAAGATGGCGCGAAAAAAGTAGCTCTTTGGTAAATCACTTAAACAGTTCAAGATTGAAATTGATAATTTAGCAGTGAATTTTTTGAAAAATTTAAAAAAAATGAGAAAACCATTCAAATCATCAGTTTTTTAAAGAACCGCAGTCAATTGCCAGTTTTGATGAAAACTATACGAGATGGGAATAATGAGACCGAAATAAATTTTATATGATATTTTTATGCACTTTTTCCAAAACAATCGCTATGTGCCTGATATTTGTAAATAGTTATTTTTACACTTATCGGAAACAAATTTTACATGAAAACAAACTTTAATGAAATATACGACGAAACTATACATAGCTCACGAAAATCGCTTCAATTGTTGAAAAAACATTCAAGTTTCTTTTTCAATCGCCATTCTACGTTGGCACAGAAAATGTCAGCAGTACACACCGTTTTTCCAAATAGATTAGTAAAATCAAGTACTTGATCTCATACAATAAGATAAACTACAGAGCACTTCAGAATATTTTTCTATGATTCTAATTTGAGATCTACTATTGATCCGAGGACTGACTTTCTCGGAGGGTGTAATTCTGATATAGCATGCAATAAAATCTAGAGTTATTGTTTATCATAATCAAAATAAATCGAACAAAACTTATATGGAGGCACACGTCTAGTACTCACCGTAAATGCAAAAAGATTCAGAAGCAGAAAGAGAGAAGCTTCTATGCTTTCATTTCACAAAAATGACAGAACAAAAACTGAAAGAGAATTTTTCCAATAGTTAAGCAACGACTAATTCTTTTTATCATAAATAATGAAAGGAAAAGATTTGAATCAGTAACCTGTACAAGCATTACATGACAGTAGATTTAAATGACCGAATGATATGCAAACTATTCGAAAACTCTATAGAATCTCTTAGAATAGATACATACATAACAGCTGGATTCTTAAATAGCAAAAAGACTATGCTTTTATTGCTGGAAATGAGCTGTTGTCGTAGATTTAATAAAAGCATAAGTTTTTTCGAAGATGCAGCCAAACAGAAAGAAACTAACTGATATATTGTCAATCAAGGCCTCCCGGAAAACAGCTAAAGCAATATTTCGATATTATTCGAAAATATATATACAGAGGAACGAAGAGCAATTTGCCGATCCAGAAAAACCTAATTGATGAGGTCTTTTTCAGGTGTCATAACTTATGCAGTGTTCGCCCATTGCAGCCGGAGATACTATCGGTATATTTTAAATGTTACTCGTAGTACCGATAACAGTAAGGAATCGAGCTGTTTCTTGCTGACACTTGACAAATTTTTTCCGATGTCAGTTCAAAAATGGCGGCTACCCGAAGAAAATTTTTTCATATGTTTGAAGGTAATCATCTCTTTTCTCTCGACCTACCCATTGATATGACCTACACTTTTCGCGGTAAGCGTTATCTTCGATGTTTATTTATAGACATTATTGAAACTATAAACTCGATCATTTGATTTTACTGCTACCTTAATGTTATTGAACAGAGTATCCAAAATAATAGCAACTCAAGAAGAGAGGTGAAGAAACAGAAATTTTCATAGACTATTTCATCTCAAAGAGGCATAGCTTTGTCAAAAAGTTATCAGTTCATAATTTTCTGATGTCGAACAAACGGATTTCATCCGAATCTGTTCAAACATAGACAAAACCGGATATAGCTTGCATAGACAATATCCGTAGTCTTCTGTAATAAGCCCACATAAAATCTCACATTTTCCCACGAAGAAAAACTTTCTACGTCGGAATAATGTAATATAGTTTTCTTTCGAAACTAATCTCACTTTGATAACTTTTTTTTATAAATGTTGAAAAGAGAACGGAACAACTTCGATGTGCTTTTTATATATAGAAATTTTACGAAAGTTTTATTTCTCCAATTAACAATTCTAAAAATGGTGATTGCGGTGTCTTGATCAAGGTTCGACGGATCTGAAATTCTGTAAGAGACTGTTTTAAAAAATATTGTTAGAAAACCTGTTGCAAGTCTTCCATCTGAAACTATTCATGCCAGAGAATCGAGAACAGAAGAAATATATGTGTATCAATTTTGATAAAAATCAACAAAAACTAAATAAGCGGTAGCTTTGATAAGCGTTTTAATATGCTGCAGTATGCGCACAGCGTTTTGATCGGGTATAACTTTGTCGTCAAATAACTTGTGCAGTTTTCTCAACATATCAAACACATTTATTTAATAGTTGAAAAATTGTTGAAATGGCACAGAAAAGTTATATTTTAATACGTATAGTGATTGGATGGATTAAATAGAAATACCGCAGGAACAGTTTTCTGCAGAATCTTTCCATATTTAGAGATATATTTATATGCTCATGTCAGATATGTGTTCGTCCTTAACTGCGGTCTCCTTGTAGATTGAAATGGCTCCTATGGATGGTAATGCTAAGATGATCAAATACGCGCCTGGTAGGAACACTGCTTTTGACCATGCAAACGAGGAGCCAAAATCAATTCCAAACGCTAAAAATGCAACAAACGATGGGAATAATACGATCAATCGAACAAAAAATTACACGTTTCAACAGAATATGTATGACTTTCTCTTTTGATGTAAAAAAATTATCGTTGTTGCTCTTTTCTAGGAAATATTTCTACTGGTCAATGCTGGGTTTCATACCCAAACCTATCTTTATGTTGCCTATGATTGCAAGTATACTTACGATCATAGGTATACTGGTAATTTGTTTTACCGCACCAAAATCACCAGGTACGTACTTGTTGGTTTGCATTCTTCGTATTCAATAAGATAATAATCCATAGTTAATGCGGTTCTGTTTTACCAGTATTGTGAGTTTTGGTTTAAAAAACTCTAATTGTGATAAAATATTTGATATCGACATATTTAAAGCAAATCATCAAGCGAGAACAGAATTATAAGCATTACAACTGCTTCACTTTTTCATTTCAGATTAGCAGTGACGGATGCGAGCCAATCAAAGTGAATATCGCTAGTAGATTAAATTCTTTTTTCATAAGTCGGACCCCTTCATTTTACTTATTGGTAGTGACTATAGGTTAGAAAAGAATTCCAGAAGGAATCTTCCCATTACCATTTTGCTCTAAAGATAGTAGAACAATAACTTTCTCCAAGATAGACATTATTGCGTTTTCTATAATCTTTTTTTTTCATACATCAATAAAACAGGAATTTCACAAGCTAATTTTTTACAAGCTGATGTTGCACATTGATATTTGTTGTAGAAAAGTCAGCCGTATCGAATGCAATGTTCCTGAATCACTTTTTCTATTATTGTTAGTGGTATTCTTTCACATCTGTGAGTGAAAACAGCAGCTTATCCTGGATGCCTCTTTCACTATCTCATCAACATATTTTGCCATATAGTAGAAGTACGAAAGAATAACATAAAATACAATGGATTTTCTCATAGAACGTTACGAGAGCAGATATTTCTTCTTCACGGAACACATCTTCTCTAAATTTTCTCACTTTATGTTGCTAGCAGACGAGAGTAAGTAGTATATGTGTTCCATCTCTATCTGCTTTCGTTCTGCTAGTATGTTCCGATACAATCGTTTTACTTTTGTCTTTCTGTATGACTCATGTGTGTTCTATGTTATATTCACCACTGATTTCTCATATCCTTTCAAATTCTAGCGAATTATTTTCATTACCACGGTTTAAAACACTCAAATTTTGTATATACATTATAAAACTGAGAAAAATATTTATCACTATTTGTGATTGCAAGGATCGCTAGAAATCATTGATTGCTCACTGTACGAACAGCAGTAGAGATAAATAGTTGCATGCTTGTCACTCAAAAACTATCGGTGAACATGCGTTGTCCATATGACGGAATTACTGACAAATACACTAATTATGGTAGGTCGTCTTTATGCATGATTAGTCAGTCAGTAGATTCACATTCGCACCTCGAGTGTCACAATTTTGTTCATTGTTATTCTCAAGCATTCGTAGCAGACTTTGTTATATTCTGTTTGTTAGTCTAAATTACTAATCTAAAATACTGATCGGATCACTGAGAGCATTACACAACAGAACAGCTTTGATATTCGTTTGATTCTGAAATAGTGTGACACAACGCAGTTTTTGAATGAATTCTGCAGTAAATGAGAACATGAGAAGAGCTAAGAGGCTTGGTTGAAGAATTTCCATATTTAACTTTATTTAAATTCCAAGAAACTAAGCAGAGTTCCTTGGAAAGATGACGGTTATATACTGTCCCTAAATAGGGTCATATGGTAACTACTGACAAAATAGGATAGTAATTGTGATAACTCAAAACAATCTAGGACGAATACTTCTACTGTATCAAACAATCAGTCATCTCATTCTTGTTCATGTATCGTTTAGCTCCAAAGTGCAGTCTCAATTTCAAAGCAACGGCTCAAAAGCCAATTGAATATAATTATGGTCCACGATCTGTCGCTATCAGCGATTTCGATAATGACTCCGTTTTGGATATGGTTATTGCCAATCATATAGCCAACAACATAGCGGTATATTTGGGAAATGGTGATGGCAGTTTTCGAAATCCAATCATATATTCAACAGGTTCCTACTCTAGCCCATACATGGTCACAGTTGCTGATTTCAACAATGACAACCGATTGGATATTGCAGTAGCGAATTTCGGCACTAACAATATCGGCATCTTTCATGGATTTGGGAGTGGATCTTTTGCAAGTCAAATAGAACTTTCAACAGGCTCATCTCATCCGATAGCAATTATTGCCGTTGATTTCAACAATGACTCACTACTTGATATTGCCATTGCGAATTACGGAATTCACAGTATTAGTATATTCTATGGATATGGTCATGGAAATTTCTCACCTCCAATTACGTATTCAACAGGTTATGATTCTCTTCCATCCTCATTAGCTGCTGGAGATTTCAATAACGACAACTATCTGGACCTTGCCGTCGCCAATTATGGCACGAATAATATTGGCGTACTTTTTGGAAATAGTAATAGAACTTTTGAAAAACAAATCACGTTTTCAACTGAACTTGGTTCCCATCCATATTCAATCGCTATTGGCCACTTTAATGACGACGAATTTGTTGATATAGCTATCGCCAATTCTGGAACTCATGAAATAGGTGTACTTTTGAACAATGGCAATAGAACTTTCGCTAATCAAGCCACATATGCCGTTGGTTCTGCTTCTCCATATGTGGTTTGTGTTGGAGACTTCAATCAAGATAATCGATTAGACATCGTCATCACTAATAATGGCATAGAAAATATAGGTGTACTTATTGGATATGGAAACGGCCATTTCGAAAATCCAACTATGTATTCAACTGAATCTTATTCTTCGATTTCCGTTGCCATAGGTGATCTCAACAAGGACCATCGATTAGACATTGTCGTCGTGAGCAATGACACTGGTAGCATAGACATTCTGCTTGGTTATTTTGAGGGTTTCTTAAGTCAAACAAACTATCCAACTGGCTCTTCTCCAACATCTGTAGCTGTTGGTGATTTCAACAATGACACTCGACTAGATATCGTTCTCACCAATAGGGGTAGCAATGATGTGAGTGTCCTTCTTGGATATGCGAATGGTTCTTTTGCAACAGAAACAAGATATTTAGTTGGCTCTTCACCGTACTCTGTAGCTGTTGGTGATTTCAACAATGACACTCGACTAGATATCATTGTCGCCAATTGGGGTAGCAGTGATGTGAGTGCTCTTCTTGGATATGGAAATGGTTCTTTTGCAGAAGAAACAAGATATTCAGTTGGCTCTTCACCATACTATGTAGCTGTTGGTGATTTCAACAACGACACTCGACTAGATATCGTTGTCGCTAATTGGGGTAGCAATGATGTGAGTGTCCTTCTTGGATATGGGAATGTTTCTTTTGCAAAAGAAACAAGATATTCAGTTGGCCCTATACCATACTCTGTAGCTGTTGGTGATTTCAACAACGACACTCGACTAGATATTATTGTCACCAATTCGATTAGCAATGATGTGAGTGTCCTTCTTGGATATGGAAATGGTTCTTTTGCAGAAGAAACAAGATATACAGTTGGCTCTTCTCCACAATCTATAGCTGTTGGCGATTTCAACAACGATACTCGACTAGATATTGTTGTTACCAATTATTGGACCAATGATGTGAGTGTCCTTCTTGGATATGGAAATGGTTCTTTTGCAAAAGAAACAAGATATACAGTTGGCTCTTCTCCAACATCTGTAGCTATTGGTGATTTCAACAACGATACTCGACTAGATATCGTTGTCGCCAATTGGGGTAGCAATAATGTGAGTGTCCTTCTTGGATATGCGAATGGTTCTTTTGCAAAAGAAACAAGATATTTAGTTGGCTCTTATACAATATCTGTAGCTGTTGGTGATTTCAACAATGACACTCGACTAGATATCGTTGTCGTCAATTTTGGTAGCAGTGATGTGAGTGTTCTCCTGCAATATAACAGAGGAGTGATAGCATATGAAATGGCCTATGCATCTGGCGGTGGATCTACCCTACAATGTGTAGTCATTGGTGATTTGAATAACGACACTAATGTGGATATCGTCTTAGCTAATTACGGCACTAATAATATAGGTGTCCTTTTTGGATATGGGAATGGCAGTTTCGAAAATCAAATGATGCTTAGCACTGGCATAAATTCTCATCCGACTTCGATTGCTATTGGCGATTTCAATGGTGACAGTGTAGTAGACATTGCTGTGGCCAGTTATGGTACAAAGCAAGTAGGTATGATACTTGGATACGGAAACGAAGCATTTGCAAATCAAACAAGTGAAGGGATTGGTTTTGATTTACGCCCGTTAGCTGTGGCTTCTGGTGATTTTAATAATGACAAACGATCAGAAATCGCTATCATTTACGACAGAAGTGATAATGTGGATATCTTTGTTGCATACAATCGTGGTTGTTTTGCAAAAGAAACAAGATATTCAGTTGGCCCTCATCCACAATCTGTAGCTGTTGGTGATTTCAACAATGACACTCGACTAGATATCGTTGTCGCCAATGGGGTTAGCAATGATATGAGTGTCCTTCTTGGATATGGAAATGGTTCTTTTGCAGAACAAACAAGATATTTAGTTGACCCTTCACCATACTCTGTAGCTGTTGGTGATTTCAACAATGACACTCGACTAGATATTGTTGTCGCTAATTGGTTCAGCGATGATGTGAGTGTTCTTCTTGGATATGGGAACGGTTCTTTTGCAAAACAAACAAAATATTTAGTTGGCTTTTATCCATATTCTGTAGCTATTGGTGATTTCAACAACGATACTCAACTAGATATCGTTGTCACCAATGAGGGTAGCAATGATGTGAGTGTCCTTCTTGGATATGGGAATGGTTCTTTTGAAAAACAAACGACATATTCAGTTGGCTCTTGGCCAAAATCTGTAGCTGTTGGTGATTTCAACAACGATACTCGACTAGATATCGTTGTCGCCAATTGGGGTAGTAATAATGTGAGTGTCCTTCTGGGATATGGGAATGGTTCTTTTGGAAAACAAACGACATATTCAGTTGGCTCTTCACCATGCTCTGTAGCTGTTGGTGATTTCAACAATGACACTCGACTAGATATCGTTGTCGCCAATGAGGTTAGCAATGATGTGAGTGTCCTTCTTGGATATGGGAATGTTTCTTTTGCAAAAGAAACAAGATATTCAGTTGGCTTTTATCCATATTCTCTAGCTATTGGTGATTTCAACAACGATACTCGACTAGATATCGTTGTCGCCAATTCTTATAGCGATGATGTGAGTGCTCTTCTTGGATATGGAAATGGTTCTTTTGCAAAAGAAACAAGATATACAGTTGGCTCTTCTCCACATTCTGTAGCTATTGGTGATTTCAACAATGACACTCGACTAGATATGGTTGTCGCTAATTATTATAGTAATGATGTCAGTGTCCTTCTTGGCTGTGACTATTTAGTATGGGTAAAGCAAATGATGCTCATAACTGGAAGTGGTTCTCGACCTCAGTCGCTAGTGATTAGTGATTTTAATAATGATGGTCTAATGGATATCGGCGTCGTCCATTCACTTACGCACAATATTGATATTTTTCTTGGATATGGTAATATATCTTTTATATATCAAGTGACACATTCAACTACCCCATATTTATATCCATGTTCAATGGCTGTTGGTGATTTCAACGATGATACTCGAGTAGATATCGTTTTTGGTAGCTGTGACTCGGATACTCTTGGTGTTTTTCTTGGATATGGTAATGGCTCTTTTGGAAATCTAATGGCGTATCCAATAGGTTCAAATTCGTCTCGATACTCTCTAGCTGTTGGTGACATTAACAACGATACTATACAAGACATTATCGTCGCGAATCATGACAACAACAATCTAGGTGTACTTATTGGATATGGTGACGGCACATTTGCAAGTACCATCCTATTATCGTTGGACTATGGATCCAATCCCTTCTGTATTGTCGTTGGAGACTTCAACAATGACAGAAAACTAGATATTGCCGTTGCCAATAATGGAACTGACAGTTTAAATATTCTCTTGCAGACTTGTTAGCCTTTTATTTTGTACTTTATATTTTTCTATTGCTCACTTCTTTATAGATTCGAATCGATTGTTATTTAGTATTATATAAGTTTGTATATACAGTAGTGGCCAAAATTATAAGAACAGCTATTTCATTGTAA